TTGAGATGTTTATAAGCGAGTCTCCAATGTCAAGTTTCTTTTTCTTCTTCTTTTGGCCTTTTCTTCCCTCTCTTTTCTTTCTTCGGGCACTAAAACATTTTGTCTGTTGATTCTGGGGATACTGTGAGTAATTATGATTTGTGTAATCTTCTTTACAGGACATGCGATTGGGCTGGAAAATTGTGGTGGGTTCAATATTTGGATTTGTTGGGGCAGCCTTTGGGAGTGTTGGAGGAGTAGGTGGAGGCGGAATTTTTGTTCCCATGCTTGCCTTGATTATTGGGTTTGATCCAAAATCATCAACAGCAATATCGAAATGTAAGAATACTCCATCCTTTCTACTCATTTATATCAACTTACAGTTTTTTTCAACTTCTGCTGTCACCAAGCTCTTACATGATGGGACATGGTAAACGTCAAACTGTTAAGGCCCTAGAGATTTCTTTTCTTGAGTCGAAGTTTTGGAATTTTCACCCCTTTGTTCTCCATGAGATAGTTTTCAATTTAATTGATGTTTTTCCTAGGAAGTGAGCACTTTAATTCCTTTTGGAAAATCCTCAAAGTATTATATTACATTTCCTTTTGTTCCTTCTGGTCAGGTATGATTACTGGTGCAGCAGCTGCAACAGTTTGTTACAACATAAGGCAAAGGCATCCTACACTTGAACTACCTCTTATTGACTATGACTTGGCGCTTCTATTTCAACCAATGTTGGTTCTGGGAATTAGTATTGGAGTTGGCTTCAATGTGATCTTTGCTGATTGGATGATCACAATTTTGCTAATTATTCTCTTCATAGGTATCAGGTGTTTGAATTGTGATTTTGTTCATGTCCCCTCCTGGAAACCTTTTCCTGATAGGCTATACTGGTATGCAGGCATATCAACTAAGTCATTCTTCAAAGGTGTTGAAACATGGAAAAAGGAAACCATAAAGAAAAAGGTGGTTATATCTGGCCTGCTAATTTGAACTATGATTCAGCTTAATTCTTGCTCTGCCCTGTCTCACTTGTATCTGGTTTTCTTAGGAAGCTGCAAGACAGCTAGACTTAAATGGTGAGTTCTAATTTTCCATTTTGTCCAGTTATCATTTATTCATTCGCACACTGAAATTTAACTCTGCGATTGTGAACTTTTATCAGGAAATGCAAGAGATGCGGTGGAAATCAAAACTCAAAACGAAGCTACTACAAATGACACCCAAACAGGAGACAGAGAATTAGGAAAATCAAAGGTAAGGCCATGATTAGTTCCATTTTCCTTAATCTCTGCCAAATAAGTATACTAACATGAGGAGAACTCTAAAACTTTTGTTAATTAAATTACATTATGCAATTGCTAAAGTTTCTCAATGATTATGACTTCCATCCTCTCAGGTGTCTCTTATTAAGAACATACGCTGGAAGGAACTTGGACTTCTCATCGTTGTCTGGATTTTAATTCTTGCTTTACAGATTGCTAAGGTCTTCTTCCTATCATGTGGCCAATTGACTTAATATGTCTGTAAACTGTGTGCTTTTAGCATTCATGATGAACTAACAGAAGTCCAATGTGGTTTGGCCACAGAATTACTCAACGACTTGTTCAGTAGAATACTGGGTATTAAATTTCTTGCAGGTGCTTAAAAACCAAACCTCCATAGTTTATACACTTGAGCTATTTTTGAAATCTGTTTTCTAATTGATTATTGTACATTAAGTAGATCCCAGTAGCTGTTGGAGTATCTTCATATGAGGCAGTCTGCCTGTACAAAGGGAGGAGAAGAATTGCGTCCAAGGGGGATGTTGTTGCAAAATGGAGAGTACACAAGCTTGTGATTTACTGTGCCTTTGGTGTGTTGGCTGGTACACTCGGTGGGATGCTTGGTCTCGGAGGAGGATTCATTTTGGGTCCTCTTTTCCTGGAGATGGGAATCCCCCCTCAGGTTCATACATCCCTTGTCAAAAATTTTATAATCCTTCTCAATGGTTTCTCTTTATGTTCCTTATGCAACAAGTTACAGACTAAAGTCTATGCAGTCATACAAGGACTGACCTTGTTACAAGTTTTTATGTAGGTGTCAAGTGCCACGTCCACCTTTGCCATGCTTTTTTCAGCATCCATGTCAGTTGTTGAATATTATCTTCTGAAAAGATTTCCAGTTCCTTATGGTACTGCTGCTTGAAAATTGTTACTACAATCTAAGATAAGATTTGTTCACATTTCAGAGATACCTAATTACTGTTATTGTTGAACAGCTCTCTACCTTGCTCTTGTGGCCACAATTGCTGCATTTGTCGGGCAACATGTAGTAGGAAAAGTGATCAAAATCCTAGGCAGAGCATCTATAATCATCTTCATTCTAGCCGGCATGATCTTTGGGAGTGCAATTTCACTAGGTATTTTCCATTGGAACTAAGAGTAAATACATTATTTCCTGGTTAGATTTTTATTAGCACAGACTGAAAAATTTATCTAAACTAGGAAAAAATGAGAAAAGGGTTTCTGTGTTTCTGTGTTTCTGTCAAATCAACAGGTGGGTTAGGCATTGCTAAGATGATCAAAAGGATTGAAAGAAAGGAGTATATGGGATTTGACGACATTTGCTCCTATCAGCCTTAGCAGCAACCCCAAGAGTAGAAGGAGAAGTACAAATCCCACTCCCTTAACGCAATTGTCAAAACAGGGGACATTCAAAGTACTAGCACTCATTGTGTCCTAAGAGGCAAAGACTCGGCATTAATTTCCTTTGTTTTTTTTCTCTATCTATGAACTAATTTTCTAGTCACCTGCGCTGCACTCAATATTTTTTCTATTTCTAATTAATTAGTGAAACGTAAAATATGATATTTGATTGATTTAAAAATAAGGGGGCAATTTCTTAATTGATGCATTTGGCCTTTGGTTTGCTGCTAGAGCAGAATTCAGTGCATGGAAGGATCTTGCCCTCCCTGCCTGCAATAGCAATTATGTAATTAAAGCATCCATTGAATAGAATTTCCAGAAACATTCAATATGGAAGAAAATTTTGAAGCATGCTTCTTCAAATTGAGATTCAATGTGCTGAATTAGATATAAAATACCATCAACTATTCTTCCAAGTATATCATATATAGAACAATGGCAAAGTCTGGGTTACCAGTGTTTATTTGACATTTCCTTCACTCTCACGCTTAGCATGAGCTTAGGGTTTGCAGTCGCTAATGAAGATACAAAGGCAGGTTTTATCATTGTAGCTCGATAATGAACTGTCAATCCACAATTTATATTGTAGTTAAATTACTTATCGAAAAAAGAAAAGAAACAATATCAGCTAAACCATACAACTGAGTAGATAAGAACTGCATACCCTTTCATTTAAGTTCGTTTGGGTGATTATCTGGTTTTTTTTTTTTTGGTTTCTGTTCTTCTGTTTACAGACCAGCCTATGTGTCAATTCTTTGATACTTGATCAAATTTCACTTGATTGAGAATAATAATAATAATAATAATAATAATAACAATAAAAACCATTGTCATCTCGATAATGAAGGCCTACATCGTGGGAACACTTCCTACAGTGGAATACTGACCATTATCTCACCATCTTAGTGCGCTACGACAAGTTGTTTAGAGTAGGTATTATTTTTGGCTTTGTTTTTCCTTTTAGAATTAGTATTCATCATTCGTTTTTTTAATCATTTTCTGTCTCTGCAGCTCTGTTTCCAAATTTCTTAATAGGAAGTTACAAAAGGAGTTTCAATGGAATTGCTGCCAAGCTCACCAATCAAGAGGCAAAAGAGTTGGCCAGTAAGTGGTGCAAAAGCCCTTTTCATGAATTAGTAGAACTCTCCACCTTCTTACATGGATGTTCTTGGGATTTTATGGATTTCAATAATTAGTGGACTAAACACATTGAAACGGATAGCCACTTCATCAGAGAGAAAGTTCTTGCTGCACTGATTAATCCCAAATATGTGTTCCCCACAAAGCTGCAGCTTACAGATTTATTTACTAAAGCCTTGTTGCGAAGAAAGTTTAATTTTCTGCCAAGCAAGATCAGCATATCGAACATACAGGAGTATTAAGAACGGTGCACGTGCTGGTTAAGTGGTTAGAAGAGCATGTAAAAGTCATGTCATAAGTAAAAGTTAGTTTGATAGTTTAGCTAATTGCAGCTCAAGTTTGTTTAAGTTTCGCTTAGGTGAGTTGTAACAGCTTTTGGGGTTTTCTGGGAACTGCCTTCTTGTTATTGATTGATCATTAATACAATTCAGCTCAATTTTATTCTCAATCTTCAATCATTAACATAATTCAAGTCAACGACCTAAAGCTGAAGGATATTATAGCCAGTTGGAGGCTCCAAATTTACTTGAATTCTCTTTCAGCGTTTGTCCAACCGCCATTGCTTCAGTAAATGCTCCGAGTCCCTGCAACATTAGTTTCATCGCTGCAGAAGAAGCGATTCACACCCTATTGTTTCTTGGAAATAATACTCATATCGAATATTTAGGCTTCATCAGTTTCCTACGTAAGGTAATAGTTTGGTTACTTATACCTAGTGAGTGGCCTACACATTGAAATGTCTTTGTTCCTACTGTTGTTTCTTTTATTTTTCATGTGATTTCTCAGAATTCATATAACTCGGAAGAGTTTAGACAAGGTTAGTCTCCTCGGCCATGTCAAGTGCAGAAAGTGTATTCAACTGTGCGAATGCCAAAGCCTGAATTTGCCGTACCATTCCTGGATGCCCTTTTCTCTGCATGTTATCCTAAAAGTTCAATTTAGAATAAAGCTTAGATGTAGACTTCTGTTTTTATGACTTGGTTTTCTTTTCTAAACTTTGCACATTCAACTTTTCAGACATAGTTTCTATGGTTCTGGACAGAAACTCGGTTTTGGTACATTGAAGGGTAAAACAAATCCTATCATAAAGACATTCTAAACAGATCTGTTTGTTGATCGGTGTTATTGTTAAATGGGCATCGCTTATTTCGGATGAGAAAAAGAAGCCCAGGCAATTTAACGACAAGGCCTCTAGAATCAACCATCAGAAATCAAACTACAGAATACAAAACTCAAGTTCTCTTTCTCAGTGGCTGTCATACCCTACACATCAATGTGTCAAATTAATATAATCAAATTACAAGATACACACTTTCCAACGCCAAAATTATAGGTGGAAGATCTTTGGAGCTAATTTTTATTGCACATGGCTACTAACTACTGTAATAAGTCAAAATGTATATTGAAGGGAGGCAAAACTTAGGCAAGGACCCCTTTCTTCACCCGCGCATTTTCTTTTTCTTTAGGGGGGAGAGGGATTGAGGGGGATTCTGTTAAAAGTGTTTTAAGTATTCTTAATTCTATATTGTCTATAGCTCATCTTTAGCCACTTGATCTTTGGTTCTCACGTGTTTGTTAATGAAAGCTGCTAGTTCTTTTGACCCAGATTTTGTTGAAAGTTTGATCTGCAGAGCAAAATGGATCACTGTGTCAGATGGTGCTAATAAAAATGATAGACAAATACAAGTACATGTTGAGCAAAATAATTACCGGGTTGTCTTTATCACCCGCTTTGTATATTAAGAGTGTTGGGTAGTCATCTACCTGGAATGATAAACAATCACAAGAGCACAAACCTTCTCAGTGTCTAATTAATGAAAACGGGTTATAGAATTCCATATGTAATTGAGTTTGCCTTTTTCTTTCCCAATGATGCTCAAACTTAAGAATCAAAATGTATACAAGAGCTTAATCTAATTTGATCAGAAAAGCAAAAAGGATGTTTAATTAATACACATCTCTATTTTTAGGAGTTTAATCTAATACTAGGCATGGAATAATATATGATCTATACATGGCAAGTTTGAGCAAAATCCATGAAGTTGATCAGTTATTGTAGTCATCCAAATTTGGCTTCAATTTCTTGACTCTTGAACTGAGCTAATAGAGGCTCAAATTTCTCCAAGGAATGGTTGGTAAAAATGGACACATAAACATGAATACGCAACAAGGTAATAAACTCTCATTTGAAAGTCAAGCTCACTTTTGGAGGAAAGTGAAAGGAGTATTCAGTATTAAGGTGCAGAACACTGACAAGATTCTTTACAAAGCATACCTGAAGTTTTGGATGTTCATTAGCAGAAGCATCAACCTTTGCAAAGACTAGATTGTGTACGCCTTTAAAATGCTTAGCCAATTTCTCAACCTGCTTGCTTGTGGTCTCACAATTGATGCACCATGGTGTATAGACCTGTATTGCAACAATGAAAATAAGGGTTTTAAGATTTTAAGTTGAATATTGCAGCAAACTTGTCAATCCTTAATGTAAAATAACATATACCAGGTGACATAGTTAACATGCTGTGAATTACTGCCATCAATCTATAGCAAGAGACACTGCACCATGGGTTTACAGTTTATAGGCATAATTGTATTTTCATTTTCCATGATGGAGCTCTAGTGGGATTCAGTTAACGTGCATGTCTCATTGGCATAGACTAATAAAGCATGATTGTCAAACAAAAATGCAAAGTGCATTGAGAAAGCAAGGAAGGTACAAAAGATTGATACCTCTAAAAGAACATTCTTGGGACTGTTCAAGACCAAGTCATCAAATGTTTTTCCAACAACAGCTAGGACACTTGCATTTCTCTGCAAATTTCAGAATAAAAAAGTTTGTTGGGAATTAATTAAATTGGAATAAATATCAGGTATTTAAATTTCATTAGCTTCGTTAGAAGAAGATAATATTTAATCTTTTTGGAGGTCTACAAAATGGACAACTTCTTGCATCTACATAACACATGTGATGAATTTATACACTTTCACGTTTCATCAACATTTACAAGAAGTAATGCAATTCTAGGATAACAACAGTTTAACTTGTCTACTTTCCTTTCTGTCATAGTGTGATTAAAGGAAGCAAAAGTCTAAGAGTTGTACTAATTTTACTTTGTGCAGCTTAGTTGCTACAACATAGTGAATTCAAGTAATTAAAAAAGAGACGCAAAAGCATATATGCAGAAATTAATATAATTTATAGTTTCAAACAGAAGAGTGATGGAAAAGCAGCTGTTATTCTAAATTATATCCAACTAGCATTATCTAAAAGAAAATGAGAGAAAATATCAATTTTTGACCCTCACGTTATCTGGAATTGGCTGTGATTTGAAATATGTTGAGATAGAACCGCGCAGAAGCCCTGAGCAAAACTCCTGCAAAAGCCAATTCAGAACAGCAAATTAGTATTCTGAATTGACATCTTTCAAAAGGCCTATAGAGCTGAATTTATACTTCTATGTTGCTCGGGGTTGGGTCAGACTGCAACAAGAATTTCGAGCTGCCTTTGTTATCAAATGCTGTCACCTATTAGGCATACAGAAATAAATTGCGTCAAATTTTAGCTTCAGTCCAATCCAAAGGAATAGATACATTTGCAGTTAAAAAATGGTTATTAACGAAAAACTGACCAAAGTGTTTTTTGCTTCCTCAAGCCCAAACAAGGTTAAGAAGGGCTTTGCAAGGTTTTCATCCATGATGTCTATATACATAAACATTATCTGCACCACGAGGAAAAACATACAAAGTTATTTGCACCAAAATGTTCAAACTGTGAAGCAGTCAAGCTAAATACCTTTTTTGTGAACATTCTTGCAACATCTTGAAGAGGCTCAAGAAGTGTCTTGAAATCATCAGCTTTTGCAAAAACATAAACCTGATGGATGATAAAAGGCAAATTCACAACACAATAATTTCCAAGAGAGATGGGGAAAATTCTGAACAACCGCTAGTTATGAAGGCCAAAATATATAACCATAAGATAACATAACTACAACAAATTTACATATCAGAAAACCAACCCAGATTGACTTCAATATCGTCATCTCATCTTTAATTTGTTTCTCAGTACATTAGTGTCAGTTGATAATTTAGTAGTTAGCCAAGCTTCAAGGATAAATATTTTTCCGGCCAGTGTGATGCATAATTTCTAAAACATTACACCCAAACCAAGTCAATTAGAGCAAATGATGTAGTAACACTATAACTGAAATGTAAACAAATTTTACTGGAGTCTTAGGAAATTTCAATCACAGAAAATTCTAAGCATTTTATATAGCAATTGCCTTCTGGGCAATTGCCTTCTGCAACCAATAACCCTCCTCCTATAAACCAGTGCTTTTATCAAGTTTGTATCCAACTTTACAATTTTATTTGGAAAACAAAACATGAAATAGTTACATTCAGAGAGGAAAATAACAAGGAAATTACTAAAGTAGCAAACAATTAAATGATACATAACGAGTTGAAAGCATGAAAACCTGAAGTTTGATGGGGCTGGAGTAAACTCTGACAGAATTCAGTTCAGTCAATTTAGTAACCAATGGAAACTTGTTGTAATCCAGAAACTGCAATATGCTTTCCGTCTCAAAGGTACCTTCTGTAAAACCAAATAGATACATTATTAATCTCGTCAATGATTCAGGTTGACAGGTGTAACTCTAAGGAAACAAAAATAAAATAAAATAAAGCCAAGCACAGAAAAAGTCATAGTCCCATAACTTTTACTATGTTTTACCCCTCACAATCAGTAAATATTATTTCAAACTCAAAAACTATTAGCATACTCACCAATCCTTTAAAGAAAAAAGAGGGAAAATCACAAAGTAAATTACTAGCAAACCATTCTGTGCTAACCAAGGTGCCAATTATAAGTTTTCCAGAATGCCAACTCACCGTAAACAATGTATCTTTCTGGTTCACTTTTAACAATCCCAAGGAAAAGATTAGTAGCTTGGATGTCTGGGTAGAGAACTTTTGCAACCTCAATGCTGCTTGTTTCAACAAACTGGATTTCATTGTCAGAGGTTGCTGCCTTTATAAATGATTCATAATCAGGTCCCTGCAAGAATTTCATGGTAAGTACATTACCAAGTGCATTACAAAAACCAAGACACTAGAAGACTTATAATTTATAAAATTTGTTATAAAATTAGCCATGCACCTCAGAAGATTGGGAAATACAAGAAGAAATATTAAAATAAAGGATAAACAATATGAATTTGAAAGATTTATAAGCCTAGAATTGCAGCCACACTCAGCATTGAAGTGCGTGAGCAAAAGAGGTTGTTTGTAAATGTAGTTACCATCTGAAAAGAACATATCATCTTTCAAAAAAAAAATGAAAAGAACATATCAAGACAAGGTTACACCTAATACATTCAAGCGAACAATTAAAACTTCCACATTAGATGTGGCTATCACATTCTTTAAAGTTTATACCAGGTCAACTCAACTTTAACTCTTATGGGAAAGGAAGCTGAAAGCAAAAGTCTACAACTAATTGCCTCTGTTTCACTTCATTCCCATATTAAAATCATAACTTGAAAGAACATATTCCAAATGATAAAATTAAAATGAAATAATTGCTAAAAGAAAAAGTACTTGCATCAGTATTAGGCATGATAATTGCTGGAGACAGACACCAGTTAGTCATGATATTTGTTTAATCAATCAATTCTAAAGAATGAAGTTTTCAAATATTTGAAATAAGGTTACATTCAAAGTTTTAAAACTTTTAACTACTTATCAATTACATTAGGCAATTTCAAATTAAAAAATTCTGTATATGTCGAGACATTTTCCCGTGATAACAATCAAGTTGTGTATTTGCACCACCTTAATTGTGTAACAGAATTGAAACTAGATTTTTCAGAAATCAAGTGTTTTGGAAGAACATCTAAATGACTACTTGGTAAGCTCTTATTGTATCAAAGTAGATTTTGATACAGGATGGAATGGGCTAAAAAAAGGTGATGGTAAAGAAGAACTTAGGTAATGCCTCAAGATTCAGATACATGCGCCTGAATGATGACTTATCTTGCCAAAAAAAATTGCACTTAAATTCTATCAACATATTCTGAACTGTCATACTAGAATAAGTTCATAATACTCCAATTAGAATATCAATAGGTAAGACAGTGAGTTGAACAATGCCAAGGGCTGCATCAAAGAATAGTCTAGAACATGAAGACTACATATGAAAACTTTCAACAGAGGAAAATTATTACCTTTAAAAAAATTTAGAATAAAGAACAAAATAAATCATTAAGGTATGGGAGTAGGGCAATAATTGAAATTCTAGAACCCAAAATCAAGCTTTTCTATCAATTGTAACCACATTTTTACATGATCCGTAAAATGACTGAAATACAAACCTTAAATTTCTCAAAAAGACCAATCACAAACATCTGATGCTTTTTAAGAAACTCTTCTGCCTCAGTCACCGTGCTTATTCTAATAACAGGTACACCGGTCTTCTTCCTTGCCCATATCACTATTTCTTCGCTGAAACAAAAATCAACCCAACAATATAGTAAGCACAATTATCTGTAATATGAATGTTCCAATGTGAATAAGCTACTCTAAACTTATTTAAAGTTCAACAAAGGAAAAGAGCAACTTACGCTGAAAATCCACCAGTATAAGCTTGAGAAGTGCCATTAACAAACAAAAGCAATGTAGGGAATCCTTTGATGTCGAGCAAAGAAGCCACCTTGGGGTACCGTTCAGCATCAAGCTTAGCCATCAAAAGGGAACTTCCCAATTCTTTCAAAGAAGTAGCAGCTTCAGCAAACTGAGGCATTAGCTCAGCACTCCTAACACACCAAGGAGCATACCCCAAAACCATAACAAGTTCATTCTCATCAATGACCCTCTTCGAATTATCACTGTTAAGTTCAAGAACTATCCTTTGCGCTTTACTTAACACCTCTGCTTCTGAAAATCTATTGCTAATCTCCTGTTCTTGGCCTTGTTGTTGTTGATCTTCTTGTTCATCCAGGGCTAAAAGCTGTTCAAGGTCATCGGAATCATCTTCAGCGCTGGTGTAATCAGAAGCATTGATGTTTCTGGAGAAAGAGGCTAGTAGAAGAAGGGTGAGAGTGAGGAGGAGGAATGTTGAAGTGGGTTTTTGGGGAAAAAGCATGGTGATTCTGTGATGGGATTATTGAGAATTTTGCAATGGGGATGAAGAAATGCGTCGATTTGGATGAGATGAGATCTGGGTTTTTGAGGGTTTTTTCTTCTACGAAACAGGCTTTTAAAGGTTAGCGCATGTTAAGGCGGAGCAGAAGCGACTTTGAGGATGGATTTGCTAGTGTAAACAGTTTGCCAGTCAAAAATATGCCGAAATGGTTGGGAGTTCGGACACTGGTGGGCCCTTCAATCTTTTTTTTAATTATTTCGAAATAATAGTATTGTTTTTCTATTTTCTGAATAAATACTGTACTAGCAACTAGTATTAGTAGAAAAATATACAGTAACAATAATTAAATGAATTGAATCGGTCCAAATCTGATAGTTTGATAAGCTTGAATCGTTCTGTGACTCCGTGAGAAAATCAACGCTATTTGTTTATGCTATATTTATTTGCTTCTGCTCGCACTTTCTTGCCATGACTTACCTTGATGTGTTGATTATTCTTTTGGCAGAGGAATGACTTATCAGGTTAGACATTTTTATGCAGCAGCATGTGCAATTTCGTGGTGGGACCCGGATTGTTGCCAGAGAGGCACTTCCAAATCCAGCCAGAAGTTTATCGGTTTAGTTGGTAAGCTACTGGAACCAAAATTCAATGTCCATGAATGCCTTGAAGATATTAGATGGAGTTGTCAGGTTCAATTTATCTGCTACAACTTTTTATGTCTCAATGTAATGCTCAATATCGGCCATAAGTGACAAATGTTGCCGATACAGGCTTGGCAGAAAGGATCTTTTCTCTCCTAAGAAGAGTGAAAGGAGAAACTGTTGCTACAAATTGATGCTGCTTATGACTTTATTCCAGCAGAAAAGCTTGGGAGGGAGGAATACAACAACATTCGAACTCTCTTGCTCTGCTATGAATTGAGACCTCACCATGTACATTCCTAAGCAAATCATGCAGACAGGGCCTCTTATGTCATCTATACATTTGTTTATTTCCATAAAAAACTCACAAGATAAGCAAAAAAATAAACATTTACAACCTTCCAAGTAGAGAGAGAGAGAGGTATGACAGGATCCCTCAACACAAATTTTGCAATTGAACGCAGGGGCTCAGCAACTCAGACTGCAGGAGATTTTATGCTGCATGATAAGAAAGATGCAAATCATCATAAAAAAAGGACTTTCAGTCATACGTGCATGTCCCCTTCTTGAATTTAATAGGCTTGGTTCTTGTAGAATCAATGACCAAAGGGCAGGAAATTTGCCTCCGGTGCTTTGTCCTCACAAGCTTTCCGACTACATTTCCTCTTGAGCGGACTTCAAACTTCAGTGTCAATGGAATTTCAGCACCATTTTGGGTAAATGTTAAGCTTGATCCAGCCCCATAAAGTGGAACTTTTTTCCCTTCCAATACCACAGATACAGTTCTACTGCTCTTTCTTGGCTGATAATATTTCTTCAGCTGCAATCACATACAGATCCCAAAACATTTACACTTCATTACATGACAACCAATCACGACCAGGGGATTTCAATGAATTATTAACAATTTCCTAAAAATGGAAACTGAGTGGACAAAAATCTTACCTGACCAGTTGCTACAGGAATTTCTGAGTAAATGAGATTAATGGGGTTGGAACTAACATGAATGCCAAATATTGTAGCAGGGTTATATACACTCAGCTTCAACGAGCCATTTACCGTCAGCATCTTTGTTGGGACCCCAGAGAAATCCGACCCTTCCCCAATGTAGAAGTTGTGCACTGCCAAGCTCTGCCAAGAGTCACATCCTTCTTGAGAAAATGAACTCAACAGATAAAACAAGTGATGAATGTGTATGCATATGAGTATTGAGTGAAGCAAGTGCTTGATTGATATTGCTTTGGAGGTGCTTTTACAAACTTGGAAGTTGGAGCTTGGAACACACTCGGACGGAGTCATGTGACACGAGATAGACAAGCCTTGTTGACAAAAGTTTGAGTTTAATGCCTGCAGAGGCTTTGACCAAATCACAGTGCTGACCCTAATAGCCAATCTTCAATTAATTTCAAGAGGTGATTAAGTTCAAACTTAGTATTTTCTGATACAATCATCATGAAATGCCGTTTAATTTCTGAGCATATGTTATGTGCTTGACAGTACTAAAATTCTATATTCAAGAAAGAACTCTCATTATATTTCCAAACCATGATGTTATGTGCAAAAATTTCACAGCTATGCAAGTGAGTTGGCTAAAACTAACCACTCCTAATAGTGAAACTACATATGCACAAGACTGCTACTACCATTAGCAAAATAAACATTTGGATTAAGCGCAATAACCAATTAAAATTGGCATACCTTGACGGAGATTTCAGCTTTGTAAGGCCTGCTGGCACCCCAAATAATCAAGCAAAACACTGTAAACAATACCGCAAAAGTCAATACAGCAACCAAGGCCTGGAAACGCCTTGTAAACGCCTTATCCTCATACTCATCATAGGACCCTTCTTCCATAATCACATTACACTCAGGCCAGCCTTTATCATTCCTCTTCCTGCTCCCCTTCCTCCCCGAAGATGACCTGAAAATCCCCGAAAACCGGCTAGCTGAAGAGTTCCTTGAATGGCGTCCAAAGGAGGATGGATGTGAAGGTGACTCCATGGGACTCGGTTGCATTGAAGATGACTTGTCTCCATCATGAGAGTCACGAGAAGGACTCTGAACATAGTATACAGGACGTTTAGGAGACCTTGAGGGTGATGATGGAGCAAGGCTCGTGATATCGGATTCAGACTTCGCCGACAACATCATATCTTTACGGATTATCTGAGAATTCTAGTGCAAGAACCAAAACATGCAGAGCACTCGGAACAGAGTAACAACTCTGTTTTCCCCTCTGGGGTAGAATTGAGTCAAGGGCTGAACTAGTGAATTGTGAACCACAAGAAAATTGGAAAACGAAAACTAGGGAGCTTCTAGATTAAATTCTTAATATACTTAAACAAATGAAACGACAATTCAATACAAAATGAGCTATTCAGCATCTAGAAAAGGTAGAAAAGGAAAAAAGAGTCAAATTCAGTACCAAAAGAGAGTAAACGGAAGAGGATTCTAGCTACCCAACACCAAGAAAAATCTTGTTAAGAATTTTGAGCTAACTGATGATAGAACTAGTAATTGAACAAGAACAATATCTAGAAATAATGATGAAGAAGGAGATAGGATCATGAAAAGCAATAATTGAGTTCACTAACTCTCAGTTTCTCCCCTTGTCTCTGTCTTTCTCTGTTTCCATACAAACAAAGTCACAGAAGAGAGAGAGAGACAGAGAGAGAGAGACCATTTTTTTTTTCTTCTGCCCTTTTTCGGTGTTTAAAAAGACAATAAAAATATAGCGCAACTCACACGTTACACTTACAACTTTATATGAAGATAAAGGAAGGGAAGGGATGATATCATGCAAGAGGTTTGGGACCATAGCTGGGTCCTTGCCTTGAGTGGTAGGTTCGGGAATAAGTGTCGGCAACATATAATTTTATTTTGGTAAATTAAAATAATTAATGGTTTTGTGCATATAATTTGGCATTATTTTTCTTTTATTAGTTTCTTTTGACAAACTACCTACTTTAGATTAGATTCCTCACTTCACTACTGTTTTATGTTGTCGTTTCTTCTTCTAGATTAAGCCTTTGCTTTAATTTATTTATTTGGATTTTTTTGTTTGGATTTTTTAAGTATTATCATGTGTTTAATTTAGCACCACAAATCCACAACATGCAGCCTTTTTGATAAAGAATCATGAACCACTAGAGCCTCTTGGGTGCCATCATGAAATTATTGGGCTTTTGCTTTCCTCTTTGTTTAATCGTTTTGGGCAAAATGGCATTTAATAAGTATTGTACTTTTCTGATTGAGCAGGAGAAGCCTGTTTAGGAATAATACCTACAAATAATTTTCAAATTATTTTAAAAAAATTAAATACATTTTTATTTTTTATTACATTTAATTTAATTTTTATATATTTATTTTAAATTAAATAAATTTTTATAATTAATAGTTAATTATCTATTAATAGTCAAAATATCAATTATTATTTTTTTATTGTCCAATGAGATTGATGTGATATTTTTTATTTTGTATATCAACATCGTATAAATATAAAATAATAAATAATATTTTAATTAAATAATAATTAAATAATAATTAATTATAAAAATTTATTTGATTTAAAATAAAAATATTAAAACTTAATTGATCATAAATATAAAAATAAAAACTTTTTAAAAATTTCTTAAAATAGTTCAAGAGTTCTTTTCAGGTATTATTTCTTAATGTTAAACAGCATTTTGATGTCCAAAGAAATCTATTCTTTTTCAAATTTTCATATTTTCCATACAAATTTAATGTTAAATAAAAGAAATTTTAAACCGTAAGACTATTATTTTTGAATCAACCCAAAAAATAAATTTTTGTACTTAGCAAATATATGTGTACATAAAAGCATGTGCAATACAATTTTTACAAAGAAAATGGTTAAAGCAAACCCTTTTAAAGTTTAGGAACACCATAAAGGAGCAAGAAGTTATAGCCATGATTATCATTTGAGTGCAATATATTATATTTGATGAAGACAGGCGTGAAAGTTGCCTTCACTAGAATTACACAAAGAGGAAATTGTCTTCTTAGCCCTTACTTCTCATTAAGGCAACAATTTTGCACTAGTACATTTTCAATTCATAAACTCAACAATAGGATTACTATGTTTATGCAATTGTTACAATTATATAAATATAAAAGAGATTGCGATGTTTCGTAAGGGGACATTAGATAGACCCTGCTGAAATGAGATGTGACACAACAAGCAATGGCTATTTCATTTTGGAGGAGAATGAATTAGAAAATCAATTAAAAAAAGAAATTTTGGTAACTTTACTCAACACCAGGCTACACAGTGTTGGGCCCTTCTTAAGGGTCCAAATTTTCAATAAAAAAAATAATTTTTAAAGTTAAATATTCAAACACAATTTTAATTATAATTATATAAAATCTATTAATTTTTAAAGTGAGTACTCCATTCCAAACCTCTAAACAAATTATTGTTAAATATAAAATGTTTAAAATATTTTTTTTTATTGTTTTCTTTCTCTCAATCCATCCGACAGTGCTTTTCTTATACTAACCGACCATCCATCTCTACCCTATGCTTCCTTGGAGAGCACAAGACGGGTGCTCCCTAAGAGCACTAGGGCTTCCCAGAAGAACACTAGATCTAGTGTTCCCTTGGGAGAGCCTTCATCGGTTGGAGTCCCTAGGAAGTTTGATCACGAGAGGTTGTTTTTTTTTCAAAAAAATAAAAATTATAATTTATTTAATAATAATTTTTAAAATTAATAAAAAATAAAATATTTTAAAAAATTACCAAATTATCAAATTAATAAAAATTTTGATGATTGACTAACAACAGAACTTATGTGTCTAGTGAAAATATTTTTTTAGAACGAAACGTTCATTTTAAAAACTAATGGACTTTTATATATTTTTAATCAAAATTTAAAAATATCTAAGTTTTCTATACTAACAAAATACTCTTACCATTCTAAGGTTTAATTGAAATTATATAAAGATTTATTAATTTTCAAAATACACACTTTGTCTAAAAAAATATTTTACGCTAGACATGTAGATCCAATCATTAGTAATTCAGTCAACTTGTTGACTTAGTAAAAATAAAAACATAACTTTATCACTAATTAACTTTTATAATTACTATTATATAATTTTATTATTTTTTATTAATTATAAAAAAAAGGCTCCCATCTAAGGAATATTGGAGCTCCCCAGGGGAGCCCAATGCTCCCTTACGGAGCCTTGATCGAGCCCAAGGAGAACACCGATGCGTCCCTCCCCTTCCAACTGCTGTACCTGTTTTTTGATGAGATTAGCGTTTTTATTTTTTTTAAAAAATATAATAATAATTTTTTAATTAATAAATAAAAAAGTACATTTTAATCTTTTTATATTTTTTATTTATAGTGTTTGCACTTTTGGAGTAAAATATTTATTTTTAAAGTTAATAAATTTTCGTATAATTTTAATCAAAATTTAAAAATATCTAGATATTTTATCTTAATTATTATTATCATTCTTTTTGTTTTAAGTTGAATATTTACTACCAATTGGAGATAAAACCAAAGAAAGTTGCGTCTGCTTGGATAACACTGTAAATTTCCCAACCATGTAATTTTAAAAGTGTCTGCTTTATTGGAGGACTTTGCTTTTATTTGCTATCATTTGCAAGTAACTCACAGATTCCGCTGTAGCACAACTGGTTAAATTTCAAGTATCTGAAATTCCAGGTTCGAATCCTGGCAGCGGAAAAATTTTTGTAATTTTTGGAACAAGAGCGATAGGGTACAGAACAGCCAACAGTAGGCGTTACTTGTCAATACTTGTTCATGACAAGTCCAAGATGTGTCCTTTATTATTAATGCCAGTCAAGTGCAGTGGGTGGAAGGGGATGAAACATGGGAAGTCTTTAACCATCTGAATTCAAAAGTTGGGTGAAAAGATCGGCGAGACTGCGAGCTTTACATGAAACTTGTAAGTTCGCCCAGGGAATTTAGGTGGCTATATTCAAGCTTATAATACTTTCTGAAATTAACACATTTGCTTATCATAAACAAGTCCACTGTAGCACAGTGGTTAAATGTTGTTCTGTTCGACTTTCCAGGTTCAAATTCTCCAAAGTATTAGATGTAAAAGAGAATTTGATAAAAACGTACATGGATGTTTAAAAACATTTGCAAATCTTAGGCAGGATATTCATTGGTCGCAGGAACAGTTAAATTCCATAAAGGCTTGTAGCATCTAGTTGAGAAGTTTCTTAAGGCCCATGACCATTTTCTGACCGCACTTGTGCAAATACAATTAAGCAGATAAACTGCACATTCTAAAGCCAATGATCCATATTTCTAAGTACAAGCAAATTGACAGATGATGTTCCTCCAGCACAACATTTCTGCCATCAACCTAAGGGCAGCTTTAGCAAACCATGGGCTGCTCCAAATGCACGGGTAAGGAAAATACAAGCTGAAACATGCATTGCCTCCTGTTTTCTCATAAAAAATACTCCCACGCTTGCATGTTCAATCTTGTAAGATCAAGAGTTATACAATTTCCAACAGACTATAGTGTGGCATCACTTGTAAAATGAAGTTTAATAAAATACATAGTTGCCAATGTGCAAAGGCTATGTTTTATACAAGAAATTCAAACATTTTCAATGTCATTCTTCATGAGTCAAGTTCCAGCATACCTTTGAATCTATTTAGCAAAATTTTGAACTAGAAATTGAATTATCTTGCATCCTGCTCAACAAGCTGGGAATGTTTATAAACACAAATTTCTCACCCTTATACCAGCATGACCCAACACAGGGTCATGACCCAAAGGTATTACCTTGCACAACATCTCCAACTAACAAGAAGCCTTTCACACTATTCCTACTCACCTTGAAAAGTGATATCCAACAAAACTTTCTTACTTGAGATCTTCAGACTGGACTTTGCTCAATTTCTTGCCCTACTTAGGAAATGATAGCTCATGCCATGAATGTTTGTTTATTTTTATGTTGGTTAATTTGGCCGCTAGGTTAACTTATTTCCAGCAACAGCTTGCTCATCAGTCCTTTCTTATAAATTCATTTTACTAAGACTTCACACTAGTTAAAAAAAGTCAAGGAACAAAACCAAGGCTACACTAATGGGCTACTGCAGTGCTCTACTGCACAAATGATACTTGGGTCAGGGCAATGCAAATTTCCACTTCATCAAATGGTCAGTTCCACAACACTACCTATTAACTTACACAATAACTACACAAAAATAAACTAAATAAAATTTCAACTATACTTGGAAATGCAGAATTTTACACAACATCATACTACAATGAGGCCTTTTTGGAGCATTACTATCCTATCACCATTACAAGTTACATAAATTACAGCAGTGCAGAACCACACCCCAGGTTAAATTCCTTCATATTAGCGCCAACAACATACACCTATCGTAAAAAATACTTACTCGTCACAAAGTGATGCCATTAGGTCACGTGGCGATGCCCAAATAGGAAGATCAAAATAAGATAGCTTCAATTGCTCCTCTTGTGCATTACACATTGCTTCTGCTATGTCACACAAATTCGAAACATCACGAATTATCATATCTTGAGCTTCTACCTGCATTTCAGACGTTAAAAGTAAACATAAAATTAGGAATAGAACCCAGCAGAGCAGTGATATACATTTCTTTACTTAATAACACTTTATTTAATTTTGTTCTATTAAATAAGTTTAGAAATATTTATTAACAAAAGAAAAGGGTAACCAAATTAATTTTAGTAAATCATTCACATATAAATTCCCAAGAGCAATCATTTTTAAACAAAAAATTTGAAATTAACAAGAATGGTTCCATAATTTACCTGCAAAAGAAGCTCATCAACCAAAGAGCCGGAAGCGTTCTCCTTCTTATCCTTATCTTTCTTCTCCGACCCTGAAGACGACTCCGTCCTCTGCTTCTCTTCTGTCTCCCTCAATTTCCTTCTTTCTTGCTGTTGAACTTGAAACTCTAAAGCCTTCTCTTGCATTGCCTTCAAAGTGTTCGACAAAATCTCCCACTCCTTGATCTCTCTCTTGTACTTCTCCCTCACTCTGAGAAGATTTTTCCTCTTCCACTCTCTCCTTCGTTTCTCTTCTTCCTCGGGATCCGCCGGCAACGGCGCTGGTTCGGTGAGAAAGCGGGGGCGTTTCTTGCGTTTGTAGATGAAACCGTCGTCGTTGTAGAGCTCCCACTCGTCCGAGGCGGTAGCGCTGGCCGTTTGAGACGAAGAGGGTGGGTCCATTTTGGGAGGGTTTGGGAAATTTGAACGAAGGTTATGTGGAGGTCAAAAATGGATCTTTCGATCGATCCAGAGAGAGAGAGACAGATAGAGCGCGTATTCTGCACGCTTCTGCGGAGTTGAGCATTTGTTATTTTGGGCGTTTGTGTTGGGCTGAATTGAAGGAGCTAGCATAAGCATTTGGGCCTTAAGCTTATAAAATTAGAAATGACGAGCCTTTTTTTTTTTTTTTTTGGTCTTTTTACTAGGATTTTTGCCTGCACCTTGTGTTGGGGTAAAATAAAAAAAATAAAAAATAAAAACAACACATTTATATTAAAATAATATGTGAGAATGATATTTGGTTAATTTTTAATTTTAAATAATATATATATATATTAACAAGTCAAATGCCTCGTCAAATTTGATATGATATCGTAGCGTGGGATATTTTTTATTTCTTTGAAAATTAAGTATTTATTATTGCCAATAACCATAAAATAAAACATAGTTTAGTGGCTTAGTAAGTCCATAGGGACATAGTCTAGTAGCTTGGGACATTAATCACATTACCATAAACATAGTACATTTATCTTATAAATAAACATGTAAACATACATTACCTTATTATAAAAATAAAATAATTACATTTCTTTAGAAGAAAATAAAAAAAAATTAAAATCAATTTTAACATTTAACACATACAATTATAATTAATTGCCATTAATTATAAATTTGGACTCTTTATCATCATGGAATTAATAGTTAAGTAATACAATTTAAATTATACAATTCATATACATTTTATGAATTAAATTAATAATAAATATTTGAAGTATATTATCTAATCAAATATCTATTTTATTTAATTAAGTGCATATTCTATATATTTAGTAATAATTAAACGTCATCCAATTAATTAGGCCCTTAAGCTATTAAAATGAGCTTAATTCTATTACTAAATCTTCAATTGAATATTTATTAGTAATTCTTTAATTTTTTGTTGATTTCAAAATTACCTTTTTTTTGGAGGAAAGAAAATAAATTTGAAGTTATTTAGATGAGCAAAGCATGAACTTTTAGGCAGCAGAAAACCCTTTTTGTGCAATACTAGCTCACCACGTTGGTTAGAAAATGGTCAAAAGACTTATCTAGTTTCTCTACTCTCTAATTTTATCCATTTAATCTTTGTATTCAAAATTGAAACAATTTAGTTTTTTTATTTTGAAAATTGTTTCAATTTAGTCTCTTCTCTTAGAGCATGTTTGGCCTAGCTTTTTTTTAACTTAAAAGCTATTATGAAGCTCTTATAAAAAATAATAACTTTTAGAGTTAAGCTGAAGTTGTTTGGTAAATTTTTTTTTATAAGTTTTAATTTTGTTTAAAATTATAATAAAGGATTTTTCTTTTTTTAAGAGGGTAATATTGTAATTATTTTTAACAGATGAAGATATTTTTAAAATAAAAATAAAATTTTTTTAATATTTTTGAAAAAAGAGAAGAAAAAGCTCCTCATAGGAACTTTTCCTGAAACTCTTTTTTTAAAAATTTTATTCTTTAAAAAAAATTATTTTTTTAAGAGTTTTTTAAAATTTATGTTTGGCCTGCCTTTTACTTTTAAGAAGTAGATAAACTAAAAAAAAAACCAAGCCAAACAAGCACTTAATGACATCCAGTTTTGTCGTTAAAGTGGATGACGTCAACGTTAACATGGTATATTTTGATGACGTGGTACTAACGTTATGACATGGTAATGCCACGTGGCACTAATATGATAATGTGGCACTGATATGTTAGCTTGTCAGTGCCATGTGACAGATAAAAAACTTTTCAAAGAAAAAATTTTGTCACGTTATAGGGATTAAATTGAATAAAAATATATAGTATAAGGACTAAATTGAACAAAATTGAGATATTGTGAGACTAAATTAGAAAAAATATTTTAAAAATATAAATTTTTAAGTAGATTATTGATGTACTTATTAATAAGCCAAATATTTAAGTGTAAAAAATTTATGGTTTTAAAAAATATATATAAATATTTTCTTACTTGATTATTTGATTTTAGAATATTTGTATTGATTTATCTTTTTTATAAAAATTAAGTTTAAATTCTCCTTTTATAAAAAAAATTTAAAAAATTTCATACCTAAAGTTAAATTTAGATGAATAACTTGCATTACGTTAAAATAAAATAATATAAAAAGAATAAATAAATTCTTTTTTATTCTATTTATAATAGCATAAAATTTTAAAATTTATTTAATTTAGTTTTTAACTTGAGCTGAACTCAAATTAGTAAAATAAGTTGATTTAGTTACAATGTTTACAATTTATAGATACTCATTCTTTTGAAATTATTTAACTCTAATCCAATTTATCTTTTATTTCAATGTATTCGAAATTTCTTATAAAACAATTTTATTTAAGGTCAAACATCACAATTAAATTTTGCTAAATTTAAATTTAAATTATTAATTTAGATCTATAAAAAATTTATTAATAAAATAAAATGGTACAAATATTTACAATTATATTTAACTTTATCAACTATAAATGTAATTTTTAATATAGGAAATTTCAACCTAAAAAATATAGCTTGAAATATTAAACAAAATAAAAACATAAAAAATAAATAAAAAATTGAAGGATGGAACTTAGATTCTATGGTTGTAATAAGTGGCTTTTTATGTCCAAATTAAGCAAGTCAGAATGAAGAATTATTTTTATAGTCATTGCTAACTTCATATCTCTGTTCTTTATTTTTTTAAAAGAAAAAACTAAATCAGTTTATTCTGATAATTTGAATTCAACTCAAGTTAAAAATTAAGTTAAATAAATTTAAATTTTTATACTATTATAAATAGAAGAAAAAAAATTTATTTAGTCCATTTACATTATTTTTATTTTAATGTAATAAAAGTTATATATCTAAATTTGACTTTAGGTATGAAATTTTTTTCAAAAATTATTTTATAGAAGGAGAATTTAAACTTCATTTTTGTAAAAAAAATAAATTAATGTATATATATTCTAGAATCAAATAATCAAGTAAGAAAATATTTATATTTATAGTTTAACACTGTAAATCTTTTTCACCTAAATATTTGACTTATTAATAAGTATATCAATAATTTACTTAAAGATTTATATTTTTTAAAATTTTTTTTCAATTTAGTCCCTCAATATCTCAAGTTAGTCCTTACACTATATATTTTTGTTCAATTTAGTCTTTATTATGTGGCAAAAAATTTTTTTGAAAATTTTTTTGACCTGCCACGTGGCATTGACATGTTAGCATGTTAGTGCCGTATCAGCATTATCACGTAATCACGTCGATGTCATGTGGTATTCTCATGTAATCATGTTGACACCACGTGGCATACCACATCATTATCTTAATGCCACATCATTAAAATATGCCACGTCAGTATTGATGTCATCCCTTTTAAAGGAAAACTTAGATGTTGTTAGGAGAAAGAGCTAAATTTAAGTAATTTTTAAAATCAAGAGATTAAATTACTTCGATTTTGAGTATATATATTAAATTGGACAAAATTAGAAAGTATAGGGATTGGATAGGTCTTTTAACTATTAGAAAATTCAAGGCTCAAGTCGATAGAAGGTAAAGTATATCCCAAGTTGGCTAGAAAAGTTGCACCTACATTAGTTTCCTACTTCAGCTTTAGTTTTCTCATAGATTTAACCAACCTTGCAATTGCAAACAAAAATAAAGTGATCTAATTCTCTCACACGTTTTCTAATCAGGATTATAAACAAGTTTCGTAGCTCCACTTACATATGAAGCCTCATTAAGTGAACATATATAATTTTGCTATCAAGGTATATAGATATATAATCATGTTACATTTATATTAAACTAGAAGGAAGACCCACTCATTGCCACTGGTTATTGAATTTATACAATTTTTTTAAATAATAATAGGAGAATTGTAAAATTGATTTGAAGGAATATTTTAGTATGTATAAATAGTAAAATACTATTGATAAAGGATAATAATTAGATAAAAAGAGCAATAGAAGTATTGTTTTAAAGAATTATAAAAGAAATAATTTATAAATGGAAATACAAAAAGTAGAATATAATTGCAGTTCCCTTAGACATTGCAACCATGCAAAAGCATATCATTGTGGCTATGCAATGTATATCACTTATCAAACAAGCAGCTCAGTCATAATAGTCTATACAACAGATAAGAAAGAATAGAGAAATCTGTAAATTCATCCACAATCCTAATAATGCAGAAAGAAAACTAATCACAAACCTGTATCATATTATCGATAATAGATCTGGAAAGTGATTAAATAAACAATAATTTTCAATAGATCTTCAATGCAAAGCAAGATGTAATTGTTTATACATATGAACATCATATATATGTTTAAATGTTTTACAGGGCCATTCATCAATAGCATGTGCTTAAGATAGGGGAGCAAAAACTTGCTCCATTTTGTTAGCCATATGTCAAGGCAAGAGTAGTTCTAACAAACTGTTAAAGTTGTTTATACAATTTGATATCAAAAAGTAACTGTTCAAAAGATCACAACAATATGGCAGTTAGTTGTTCTATACAAAATGTGGTTGATGTTCCATTGTGTTTTCATTGTTACCATAGACATGATCATGGAATGGAACAATAAAAGACATGCTCCAGTTATGGTAAAAATTACGTGCTCCTTTTTTGATAGACTTTTTTCTTGGTCACTGTGCTTGTTGCGGTTCCCTTGTATCTGTTGTTGACATAGAATGATGAGGTGTGTTTAGTTTGTTGCTTGTTGTTGTATTCTAATTTAATAAAAAGTAAATTGATTCATATAATTTACCTACTCGATTTTGATCTTTTTTTTTAGTGACTTTTCTATAAACAATGCTTTTGACATTTGTGCATTTGTTGGTGATGGTGGTGCTTCCATTAGGGACTATTTCATTATGAGTAATGGGGTTTTAGAAGATGTAGGTTTTTCTGTTATGGAAGTTGTTGCCTCTTCTAGTTTGAAACTTTCAGGGAAAGATTGTTTGACACTATTACAGTTAAAACTCTTGAAGATTGTCAATCCATGATCAATAGCTTTTCAAGTGCACATTTACAAAAGTAATAAATTAACTTAGTAATAACTAAACTTAAAAGCAAATTATCATAAATAAACTTAAATTAAATGAACCTAACATGATTTACTAAAATAAAGTAAATAACTAAAGTATCAAATACCTAACTTAAATAGCAAGAACTTAGCTAATTTAATACTCAAAATGTGACAAAATAACTTTATAAAATAGAGTTATCAAGTTCCAAATCCATAAACAGACAAACATAATTAGCAAAGTACAAAAAGTAAAAGGTTGACGTCTATCAGATGCCTTATCAATCACCTATAAAAAACAACAAACATAGTTTCCCCCAAAAGACAGTGAGCCAAGTAATCTATAGGTTTGAAAAAAAAATGAGAGAAATTAACAGATGAGTTACAAACACTCCATGAGTAGATATAGGAAGAAGGAATAAGTTAAATGGAAGAATGTTTTTAGGAATTACATTTTTATAAAAAATGTAAACAAGTAGATTTCAAATCTTTTTTAATTTCATTTTCAAGTGTAATCAGATCAATTCAAAGTGATTCGAAATGCAAATAAAATCCATAGAAATCATATTTGGAATTATCGAAGTCAAATGTATCTCAAAAACCTTTTGAAAGTGTGAAAAGTTCACAAATAAGCCTTAAGTATTGATACTTTTCAAACAAAATGGTTCTTAAGGCTTCTTAGAGTCAAGGTATCGATACTGATGCCATAAGTATCAATACTTTTAAAATAGAATGTCTTTTGACTTACAAGTATTGATACTTTCTGTAAGAGTATACCTAGAAGCCAATTGAATTGGATTAAAGATACACTTTTTTTCTTGTGTTTTGGATATTCTTTTATCCTTTTATATTGAGGTATTCACTTTATCAATAAGTTAATACATGTAAAAAGTTTAGTATTCACTTATTGACTAAACCTTGGATAAACTTACGTTTTGCAAAGAGATTGTAAAGAGTCATAATTATGAGATTTTTTTGCATTAAAGCATATATCTTAAATGTTCCTAGCCATTGAATTATAGAGATTGGGCATATATAATGCTCAAAGGCTAGCACATGTTATGTTCCTCACTTATATGCGCAATCAATCTCATAGATTGATGGTATAGAGATACTTAGAACAAACATGTGGGTGCTTATTCAAACTAGAATAAGTTCACTAAATATGACTTGATAAGATAATCCTACTTGATATCTCACTCAAATGTTTATCGGGATAATTCTTTAATGACAGTTGTGCAAATAATCTTTAAACTTATGATACCATTGTTATTTTGTATATGAAATGTTATACTTTGATTTCATCTTTTCGGGTCCTAATCAAAGATGCCTAAAAAGGATGTCATTCAATATAGCATGAATTATATGGAGGAATATGAATTGTCCAAAGAGGAATCATCACTCGAAGTGATAAGCAATGGGAAGTATTTTGTAGACTAGTTAACTTGTGTTTGCTTTTAAGCAAATCCTTAGCCAATGTATAATGAGGATTCGAAAAAAAGAGTTTTCATGGAATTGAATTAGGGTAAACATTGAACCGTGCTTTTTACTCATTCCAAGATAAACAATGATGGGTTTGAATTACACATATAAACTGTGCACTAACTAGGTTGGTCAAACTATATTGACCATTCTAATAATTAGTGGCCATGATGTGTTGTTAGATACCAATTTTGGTCCATAAATGTAGATTGAGCACTAACTAGGTTGGCCAAACCACATTGGCCTTTATAATAATTAGGGGCCATGATGTGCTGCTAGACACCAATTTCGGTTTATAAGTATAGATTGACCAGTTAGAGACTAAAGATTAATTAAATAGAGATTTGATTAATCTAATTCTAAATATAATTTAAGATTACAATTACACTCATTGCTAACATAATTAGAAACTTAATGGGTCACACACATAAGGTGATTGTCGAAATTAATTTGAATTCAATTAGATGTGATCTAATTGATTTTATAGAGGCTTAATTCGTTTAAGTATTGAGCTTAATTACACATAAGTTTGAATATTATTTAAATTTATTTAATTAAACAAAAATCTAGTTAGTTTTAATTAGCCCAAAATATTTTCTAGTTCTTATAGGATATGAAGTAGGTCAATTCATTTTATAAAAGGATTCTTGCCACCTCTTGAATGTAAAAATAATAGAGGGTGTCATCATACTCAAATGGTCTAATACTTATAATCATCAATTTCAGAGTATATAGATCATTGTAAACAATGGCTACCGTCTATTGTCGCTAGCTATAGGTCTTTAACTTAATAGGCTCCGTTAATATGTTTTCAGAGTAAGAGTTTATACAAAATTCATTTCGAAAACAAAAGGTGAAATCGATCATTAATAATATCAAAGGGTTGAACCAAGATTTCCTCCATCGTTATCAACCTAGTCTATTATCTCAAAAACAGAGCGACTTGATGCTAGCGTCATTTCAAAAATCATTTTTAGCACAAATTTTTCGATATAAATCATCATATCAATTCATAGACAAAATTTTAGAATTTTGAGATATCAAAACATTCAAAGTGCTTGTTCCTCTTGCACAAAACTAACTACATAATATGCATATTTATGTGGCATATATAGCTTTTATCAAACTTATTTAAATCTCATCACACAACATCGCAATCCTTGAAACAATCCATGCTCCATCGAGAATACATTTAAATGGGAATCATATATAAGATATGCTTAATTATATCAATATAATTAAAAGCCCTTAATTTATCCACCTATTTGAAGTGTGTCTTTTCTTTTAGCACCTTTCCATGAAAGCTCAATCTCTTAAAAAATACCAACTTGTCCAACAGCACCTATCCATGATTAATCTATTGTTAATACCTTGTTCTCTAGGCATAATTACCACAAATAACCAATAACCCTTTTACTAACTTCTTCACTTAATCTTTAATCTAATAATCACTGACTAAATCTAACCTAACTATGAATATATAAACTTCAACTAGTTAGGGTTTACAACAAATTTTACCTTGGTGTGCTTGAGAGTAGTAATATCAATCCAAAAACTTAAGTTTAAAGAGAGAAATGAATTTTTAATAAACCAAAATTTATGGAAATCATAACCCAAAGTTTGAAGATTATGAATAGTGAAATCTTACCTTCAAATGTTCTTAAATTGAAAATTCAATTTCAAATCTAAAATTTTAGAGGCTTCGCATAGCTTGGAAAGATGAAAGAAAGTGTAGAAAGAAGTGAGAAAAGAGGAACTGAGACTAGAAAACGAAACATTCTTTGCCAATTTAGAAAACATTTGAAGGTTTAGGGCTTTAAAACAATAGTGAAAAGTTTAATCTACTCTTATTTTTTTTTTCAAATTTGCAACGAAGGTATCAATACTTTTAGCAGAAATATTAATACTTTTCCTTTTTGGATAAAAGGTATCAATACTTCATGAATAAGTATTAATATTTGTTCATTAGGATACATTTCTGGGTTTTAAGTATGGATATTGCTTGAATAGGTATTGATAGTTTTGATCAAGAATGCAATTTTAAGTTTAAAACAAAACATTTCGAATTTCTTTGAGTCTCATCTTTCAAGTAAAATCATTTAATTATGAAAAACATACATTTTCTAAGTTATAATTGTTCAAAAATCTTGAGCAAAACATTAAATTAATTTCTAACCTAGTTAAGTTATGTCTTTAACCTTAAATAAGAAGGTTGAGGCTTCACATTAATATTTATAGCAATTCCCATGAATGAGATCTTTTATTAACTAATCATACATGCACACATTTTGGAACGTATTTTTATACAACTAATTATGATTAAGTCAATAGTTATATGAACAAGCTTATCACCTACTTAGCATATTATAAATTGAAAATATATTTATCCAATCACATCAAACATTTGGTATGTACCCCTATAACACATCCAAATCCCGTAGTTAAAGAAATCATGAGTAGTACAATGTACCAAACTATCTTCACCTTTTCCATTTTTCTTTTCTTCGTATCAAACCGCGGTGATGGCTAACAACTTGCTACAATAAACGTTTTAGTCCAAGTTAAGACAATTATTTAGCTAATATTATTTGAATTGAAAATTCAAATATGAAGAATTCTTTTTTTTTTGTTTAAATTATAGTTAGTGGGTTACCAACTTTATCCGGAGCAGTGGCCATCACCATCTTTATCCCGATGGGCAATGACGATGACACAAGCAAGAGAGAGAAATCAGAAAAAGAATCGTCTTTATTGTACCAATGAATGAATGAATGAATGGAATAAGGTTAAAAAAGCCCTTAGAGTGAGGAGAGATAATGACAAAAGAGTTGGCCTATGTGCCAGCCTAATATTGCATTCAAATATATGACTCAGGCCTTTGCTTTTGGGAAAAACACAAGGGAGAGAAGGAGAGAGAGAGAGAGAGGGGAAGCCTGCATCTCTTCCACTTTTGTTCGTATGTAACCTGGGAAGGAGTGAGATTTGATCCAATCTTTTCTGGGTCTTAAAGATAAGAACCAACTGTTAACGAATTATTCACTTATAAAGTTTCAAACGCAAGTATTTTGTTTTTTTCAGAGAGAGAGAGAGATTAGAAAAGAAAGAAGGAAAACATGTTGGAAGGAAAAGCTTTGGTGGAAGACACAGACATGCCTTTGAGGATGCAGATCCAAGCTATGTCTTCTGCGTCTCAAGCTTTGGATCTCTATGATGTCCTGGACTGCAAATCCATTGCTGGTTATATCAAAAAGGTATTTTTTTTCTTCCGTCTCTCTCACTAAAAACTAACATACAAAAGTACCCTTTTTCTACTTTTTCTTTGGCATAAAAAAACTTGACCTGATTTCCTCTGGTTTAAGTTCATATGGATTTATTTTTCTCGTTTGCTTTAAAGTATCTTAGCTCTTTCTTCTTCTTTTGTGTTTTTTAGCTGAAGCTTCTGTTGTGATTCTAAATTTTCCCATTGGCAGGAGTTTGACAGCAAATATGGGAATGGATGGCAATGTGTGGTGGGTTCAAATTTCGGGTGTTTCTTCACTCATTCTAAAGGGACCTTCATCTACTTTACATTGGAAAGACTCAAGTTCCTTATCTTCAAAGGGGCTTCCTCTTCTAACTCTCCCTGATGCCAAGGCGGTGTTTCATACTTGGTTGTAGTGTTGTACAGGCAAAAAGCCCAAGAGGAAAGTCGGAGGGGTAAAAGTGTAGTGAAGTTGCTTTATCTGTTTTTCTTTTCTTTTCTTTTTTTTTTTGTATAGAATTCTATACAGGGAAGGAAGGTAGGGCAGAGGAGTGATAAGAAAGAGAAAAAAGATGACAAGAGGCTCAGTAGTCATAAATAAAGCATGATCACATGGGTCTTTTAGATTTTTCCTGTGTGGTTTAAGAGAGCCTTTTTTGTTGTGATTCTCTGATGGGGCCAATTAAAACTGTCCTCATGTATGTATAAATGAAATGATGATATATACTGTTTGACACCCCTAGTTTTCAGAATTTTTTCTGAAATATCATCTTCTCTGTGCTGATGGATTGACATCCTGAACAAATGGCAAGATAATGTAAACTAAAATTGATTTTGATTTTTGAGGGAATAATTGATGTCATGTGTATGATGAGAATCTTCATTTTCCAAAGTCTAAGATTCATCTTGACTTTTTTGACCTGGGGCTGAGGGGGACTTACGTAGGCACTAGTATAGTGGTAACCTGATGCTGCTAGGTAGCTGGGGCTCCCTTTGCATCGACTGTTTGCCAAAGGCACTTATTAGAGCTTTACTACAAGAAAAATGAGAAATTTCCAAACCTAGACTACAGTGTAGAACACAAAGCGAAATCTGTCTCTGGCATCTGAGACAAGCACAAAAAACGTTAACAAGTAGAAGCGCTTCAAAAAAATACTTTATTTCTTTTGTAACATGATATTTTTATAATTGTTAACATGATTAGTCACAATTAATCTCAAGAATTATATCTAATTCTATATAAATTTTTTTAGACATAAATATCGTCTTAAAAGAATCTACTAATATTCTTTTTCAAAATTTAATAAAATTTAATATTTGATAGAGAAAGAAAAAATTTAAAATTTAATAAAACTTTAGAACTGGGTTTGTAAATATCACAGTTTGTTTTAGTTTGATATTTAATAAAATTTAATATATGACAGATAATGAAAAAAATTTAAAACTTTTGATTTATAATAATCAAGTTAAAATCTTTTTATATCACCTTAATTCTTAATTTCAAAGAACAAATTTTGAGTAAAAATTTTTCAACAAAATTAGTAATAACAAATAAGATGAACAAGCATTTTTTTTTAAAAAAATAAAATATGCTTAAATTGAAAAAATAATATAAAAAGTATTTATATCTTAAATGCTGATTAACGGTATTACCTTTCCCAAAAAGTTTTTAAAATTTTTCTCGAGTTGCTGGAGTTGTAATAATAGCTTTAGCTTGAACACAGCCAATTATTAATGCAACTACAAGATATATAGCATTGCGGTGCTACGACTCCAATTGCTTTGCATTGCAGGCCGAAAACAGATTGCGGGTGTTATTTTGTAAGATCTGCTTCCACACTCCAAACTTTAAGCGTTCGGATTATTGATTATGGCCTATGGGTCAAGCTGTAAGTAAGATCTGACTGGGAAACAGTAAATTCAATTAAGGCAGAATAAATTAGAAGCAACTAACCACTGCATAAAATTGTGAAATCTTAGTTTCAGGGGATGGAGCTGAACTGCATGCGTTTAGAGTTGTGGTTGATCAGCTATAGGCATTATTAGTTTCCCTTGTCAAAAGTGGAATAAACTATGGCTTTCAGATTAGTCTCATAAGGCTAGCATTGAAGGGAACAGGCTGACAACCAGCTATTATTAGCATAGATTTACATCCCAGCAAGGGGCAAAAAGATTATCTAAAAAATGTAACTGATAATGTTACGGGTCAAATATCCTTTCACTAAGAAATGGCATTCAACCAATAATCATGAGAAACCAATCTGGTTCTAGAATACATCATCCATCCTTGTCAAGTCTTGATATTGCTGTAGCTCATGTACCTGCATTACTTGAACAAAATCATATAACAGGAGTCAACAAGGGCTCACCCTTAAAGTGTGCCTCCAAGTTGCTTATCACAAGGTCAGCCATTGCCTTGCTTGTTTCCTCAGTGTCACTACCCACATGGGGCACTAGGACAACATTATCTAGTGCAAACAGTTTCTCAGGTGGCTCAGGTTCATTTTCAAATACATCAAGTCCAGCTCCACCCAACCGGCCTTCGAGTAATGCAGATACAAGCTCAGGTTCATCCACATGGGCACCTCGTGCAATGTTGATAAGAAAACCTTTTGGACCCAATGCATCAATTACTTTGCGATTAACAATGTGGTGAGTTTCCTCTGTCAAAGCACAGGCCACAACAAGGATTTCACAATTGGCAGCCAAGTCAACAATGTTTGAGTAGTATTTGTAATTTGTATTTGGTTTCTTAGATCTGGAGTGGTAACTGATAGGGCACTGAAAAGCTTCAGCCCTTTTTGCGATTTCTGATCCAATCCTGCCCAACCCAACAATTCCAACTGATTTACCACTGAACTGGAAGAGGGAGACAATAGTAAATAAAAGGGAAAGCAAAAGTGGAAAAAGATCAAGAAAAAGATGGGAAAGTTCAGATTTATATTCAGGGGAAGAAACACTAAGCATACTAGTGATGTAACATGCTCAATGTTGCATCTTTCTAGAAACGATATCAGCAATAAAATTTTTGCTGATACATGTATGACAAGAAATATGTTTCACTATGTCAGAAGAAATTAAAATACTGAAAAGACTCCATGCAGCATCCATTGCTGACGAGGTTGACAGGCAAACCAACGGGCTAGGCAGAAAACTGAGTGCTAGAGATGTTGGTGGCAAACAAAGAAATTCCAATCCTCCAATGCATTGAAGATTCCGTGGTCCATTGTTTGTCCTGCTCCCTATATGATTGTTGGTATTTTTCTTCCTTTTTAGCAAAGGGGAGTGAACTCTATATGACATTTTTGTCCAACAAATTTTGGTCACTAAGATACGATCAATGATCTACCAAGAACAGTGAAAAAGGAAAAACCAAGTTCCATACTCTACTCTACCAGTTATCATGAATTACTGAAAAGTGAGCATACGTATAGCAATTAGACTAGTTCATACCACACACTAAACATAAATAACTTAATAAATGGCGAGGAAAACACTTCATTGTTACTGAAACATGGTTCCTGGTTCGTTTAAGACTACTGGAAAATAAGAAAGAAAAAAGAAGAAAGAAATAAGTATCCATCATCCAAAATCACATCAAACAATTTCAACTGAACTTCCTAAAAGATGTTCATTATTGGATATAAACAATAATCTTATCCTCTACTGACATGATGCATCATATGTATCATTATGCTCCTATTTGTAAACAACTTAAAAGCCTTCAAACTAAAAGTAACTCAATGCAAACCAGATATCAGTTTCACAAACTTCAACCCTACTTCTTAATCGACTAAAACACGTTAGAAGCTGACAGAAGCAATGGGACCAGATTACCTACGACGTAGCTATCATATTACTATCATAAGTTTCATTATCCACACAACTGCAAATTAATAGAATCAAATCAATCCACAAAAAAGAAGCTTACTGGTCCCTATAAAACTACTTTAAACTGAATTATCATAAAGGAGAAAAGAAACTTCAGGCAATAGAAAACTGATTATCCATTTTTAACAGCCTAATCAAATAAACTAAAACCCTCAAATATCATAGAAGAACAAGAACTCATTTTTCACTATATTGGATTAAAAACATATAAAATCAATAAAGACAGTACAATTTAAAAAGAAAAAGAAAAACCCAGAAACAAACCTTCGTAGCCAATCCGAAATCACCACTGATCCAGTTCCCACTCCTGACAAACCGATCACAAACACAAACTTTCCTCAAAACAGCCAATGCCAACCCAATAGCCAAATCAGCTACATCATCAGTCAATACATCAGGGGTGTTAGTAACCTTAATTCCTCTCTGTTTGCACTTGTCCAAATCAATCTTGTCCAGGCCAACGCTGTAGCTTGCAACAATCTCTAAATTGGGCAGTGAATCAATCAGTTTCGCATCAGCTCCAACTTTGGTGTTTCCGACCACTGCTTTGATGGAACTCGAGTAGTTGTTGAAGAATTCAGTCTTCGAAGATGAATGGTCCCATAATTTGATGAGCTTGAAGCGGGTTTCAAGTTCTTGTTCGAGGTATGTGAACATTGGACATGTCATTAGAACACAAGCGTTGTTCATGCTTGCGCTTATGTTTAGAAGTTGAGACTAGGCTGGGTTTTGTCTTATTTAGTTCCGGTTTCCTCCGTTTTGAAGTGAAGCTTGTTGGAACTGAGCCAATGTCCTCGCCGCCATAGGGACCGAGTGAAACTAAAACGAAGAAACTGGCGAAGGAACCCTCCAAAAATTGGGGCTTGGCCCAGTGGTTCACCCTATGTTGGAACGCTCGCAAATAAGTTTAGGATATCCTTGGTTCACAAAATGAGGAGAGAAATAAAATAGTTATTTTATAAAAATAAAATAAAAAAAATATTACATAATTTGATTCATAAGAATAAAATATGATAAGAATTCTTATTATGATTATTCTAATGATTCGTTGGTAGAAATATTTTTAGGAATAATTAAAAAATATATGATAAATGACAAAAATACTTTTTAATAAAATTAAAGAGTTTATTTTGTTAAAAGATAAAAATACCCAAATAATAGGTAATAAAATCAAAATACCTTTTACTATAATTAAATAATATTTTCACCAAAATACAAACATATTTTTATTATAATTTAATAATATTTTGTATTAGAAGATAATTAAACCTTTTATTATAATTAAATAATATTTAATACTAAAAGGCAAAATATTTCTTTATTAAATTTAAATAATACTCTATAATATTCTTTATTACATTTATTATATGCAAATAATAATATTAAATAATATTTTTTATAATATTTATTATTATTGGCTCCATTAGTTTTTTATGATAATAAAACATTCTTATTTATTTGTGTCTAACTTTTCTACTTAAGTGTGTAGGATAAAAATGTATATCAAATAATAAATTAATCATTCAAAAGCAAATATCAAAACTCACAACAATAATAAGTTATAATTGAGCAATAAAATAGAAGTCACTTAGTCGGATAATCAAGGATTAGTTGGATAAAATTTAAAAGAAAAGTTGACAAGTTCAAATAGATTGTGAAACAAAAAATACTTAGTCGACCAAGAGGTATTGCTAATCAACTAAGAGCTTACTGCTAGAAACTAGGTTCAGAGATAGAAACGACTTAATCGACTAAGAAGCATTATTAGTCGACTAAGAGCTCACTGCCAGAAGCTGGGATTAAAAGACAGAAATGACTTAATCGATTGAGAAGCATGTTAGTCGACTAAGAGCATTCTGTTTGAAAATTTGAATTTGAACGCTAAAAGATCGATTAACAGCTAGAACTATTTCCAAACTATTTTCAATGGTTAGAATCTATCTAATACCTATCAGAGTTGATTTCTTAAGTATATAAGGCACTCCCAACGGCTATGAATAAGTTTTTGAAGGCTGTCAAGATCAAACGAGATCAAAAATAGCAAAAACTCTCTCCATACTTTCTGCACTTCACTTCAATCCTTGTAATAGAATTAAACACTTCACTTTGTACCATTCAGATCAGGTTAGTAACCATAGGTACTTTTTTATTTCTATTCTCTTTGATTACTTAGAGTGTGCGAGTTACTCTAAGGAGATTGATCAAGCTTGGCTTAGCTTGATTGAGTGTATGTGTTCTAACTCAGCCTAGGAAAAGTTAGTTTTTGGTTTTGGTTGATCCTGAGAAAAATCATTATTAAAGGTTGTGGCTGAGCTTGTAAAAAGGCATTGTAAAAGCTTGGTGGAAGCTTGAAAATTTCATCGTTTATAGTGATTTGGTTTGAAAAATCTTTGGCTGAACAATCAAGGTGGTGGATGTAGGTCTTCACTTTGTACCATTTAGATCAGGTTAGTGATCTTTATTTCTATGCTCCTTGATTACTTAGAGTGTGTGAGTCACTTTAAGGGGATTGATAAAGCTTGGCTTAGCTGGATTGAGTGTATGGGTTCTAACTCAGCCTAGAAAAAGTTAGTTTTGGGTTTTAGTTGATCCCATAAAAAATCATTGTTAAAGGTTGTGGCTGAGCCTGTAAAAGCCATTGTAAAAGCTTGGTGGAAGTTTGAAAATTTCATCGTTTATAGTGATTTGGTTTGAAAAATCCTTGGTTAAATAATCAAGGTAGTGGATGTAGGTCTTTGACTAAATCACTATAAATCTTTATGTATTGTCTACCTTGTTTTAGTTTTCATTTCATTCTTTGTTAAATCATTTCTTTATCTTGCATTTAACTTCTCATCATTGATCTTTAACTTGCCTCCAATTAGAAATCAATCTAAGTGAGAGTCAAAAAGCGCTATTTACCCTCCTCTAGCATATTTATTTGGAACCAACAATTATAGTTATATAATATAAATATATTAAATGATATTTAAATATTTTCATTTTTTATTTTTTTTGAAAATGAAGTAAAAAATTCTTTACAAAGGGTATTTTTGTAAAGTAGAGTGAGGCAGTAGGAAGCTCCAAAAATGGATTTGCTTTAGAGAGAGAAGGAGTGAGGAAGCGAGAGGAAAAAAACTAGGTTTAGTATTATTTTATAAAGTAATTTTTGAAATTGTAAAAGGATATTTTTGTCCAATCAATTTTTTTTCTTATTCTCAAAAACTTGGAATAACCACTACTAAAGGGGCTTTGGTAATGGCTATTTAGGCTTTTCTTGGAGTGGCCATTATGAGGAATAGCTATTCCATTGAGCCAAATGCAACTCTATCTCAAGAATAAAAATAAGAGAGGAATTGTTATTCCAATCCCTTCAACCAAGCATGCCACTAGGGTTTTGTCTAAAGTTTATATTTGATGTATTAGTAGTGTATAATTATTTTATATATTATCATATAATGAAATGAAATCATCTTATTATAAAAATAAATTTAAAAATAAATTTTAATAATTTTTTAAAAAATATATAAAAGATAAAAATAATAATTTCACCATCAAATTTCATCTCAATAGTTTTTTTGGCATAATATCTAAAAATTTTTTAAATTATTTTAAAAAATTCAAATAAGCTTTTATATTTTTATTACGTTTAATCAAGTTTTTTTATCTTTATTTTTAGTTAAATAAGCATTTTTTACTTTTATTTTGAATTAAAGAAACCCTTATAACTAATGATTGACCTAATTAAATTCTCAGTTGCTATTCCATATTGCGTCACATTGACACTATAGGTTAATAGATCCTAATTGATGATAATGCGACATGTTGACATATCATAATTGATGATGCCATGACATACTACTTTGACATAATAACATGATCATGTGACATTTTGACTAATGATAATTAATCAACGATTAGTTATAAGGACTTATTTGATCTAAAAGTGTAGGGGTTTGATTGAATGTGATAAAAGAATAAGAATTTATTTGATTCAAAATAAAAGTATAAGGGTTTAACTGAAAGTAATAAAAGAATAAAAGCTTATTTGAATATTTGGGAATAATTTAGAGATTTATTTGAGTATTTTTTCTTTTCTTTTTCTTTCTTTCCAACTCTTTCTCACTTGATCTCTTCCTTTTTTTATGTTCTATTTTATTTAGTCCACCACTTTTACAACCTTTTAATTCATTAGTTAAAGATTTAGGGCTTTATAGAATACAAGTTGATAATTTAAGACATATTGCAATTTGTAATTTGTGTTTAGTTACTTTACTAAACTAGATTGAGGATTTAGAGTTAATTTGTGAAAGCTCTAAAACTTCAAACACAACATAAAACAACTAGAATGTTAATACAGGTGTTAGCTTTAAAATGTTTATAGTTTTGATTATGACAGAATGATCATAATTTGCTTGAATATTATTTGAATGGTTCTTGACAAGTTCTTGAAATGATTTAACTCTCATACATTTATTTTTACATAATTGTAAGCTTGATTTTTGAAGTTATTGAACTATGTATATATAAGTTTGTATGACTTAGTTGTATAATTTTATGATCCTTTTAACATTTATCCTTGAAATGTCAAAGTTGCAAGATAGGTTCACAAACGGTGGAGTTTATTTTAAAACATTTAAAGATCATTAATCTACACATCACCAAAGTTGTCTAAAGTGAAGAAGTTTATTCTCAACTTAGCACTTGATCACAAGGAAGAAGCAAGGAAGAAATAGCTGAAGTTCAGTGTCAAAATGTCAAGGAATTTTGAAAAAACAAAGCAATTGATCCTAGAGTAAGACAAATCGACCCTATGGAAGAACGGGCAAGTACGGATGAGAAAACTTGAAGAACACAAAGACATAGTTGAGCTTGACACACTTATAGTCAACCTTAAGGTAGAAAGGTAGTGGAGATGAAGTTCTTCAAAGTCATAATCGACCCTAGCATCCATATGGTCGACCTTGAGAATTCTAATATGGAAAAAAAAAGATTTTTCAAAGCCATAGTCAACCTTGACAAAGCTATAATCGACCCTGTAAGCTTTGATGTCTAAAATACTAGCTTTTGGAAGTGAATCGACTAGAGAACTTCTATTCTTGACTATAAATAACTGTTGAACACAAAATTCAAAAGGAAAATAGCTAGTTGACTACCTTAATCACCTCCAATAGCTCCAAGACTTGTCCAACTATAAAAAAGACCATTTAGAAGCATTTCAAAGTGAGGAGGAAGAAAGAAAAAAGGCCAAACTTTTGAAGATCATGGTCTTGAAAAGAAAAGAGAGAAAAATAAGGAAAACCAAGCCTACTTGAGCTAAACCTTTTTAAGCTTACACTTCAATCTTTATAGCCAATCTTTTTATCCATTGTTAGGCCTTTTTCCTCAATTGTACTAAACTAGCAAAATCCACCTTTTAGAAGGACTCTTGTTATTCCTTGTAAAGGTTTTAGATCATCCTCGAAAAGTTAGTATGGGTTTGTGGTTAAGCTTGTTAAAAATCATGAGTTCTGCTTGCTCTTGGTAAATGGCATTTGTAAGATTTATAATTGGGCCCATTAAAAACCATGGGTTGTACTTACTTCTGTTAAAAGGTATTTGTAAGGGTTGTGGTTGCTCTCGGGAAAAGCCATTGTAAAGGTTTAATGCTTGATCCCGTTAAAAAGCATGTTTCCTAGAGTGGATTTGAAACTTCCTAGCTTGGTAAGGGAGAAGACGTAGGCATTTGAGAAAGTTGAAGCTTTATAGATTTCTTGTGTCTTTATTTTTACTTTTAGCTTGAATTACTGCACTTGATTTCAAGAAAACCTATTTCTTACGTTGCTTACATCTTGATTTTTACTTTTCTCATTTTGGTTTGCCTTTTTGTTAAAAACCTTTTTGCTATCATTTCTTTTTCACTTC